AGGATGAAGAGGAGGAGGAGGAGGACGAGAATGAGGAGGATGATGATGATGATGAGGAAGAGGAGGGAGGAGGAGGAGGACCAGGAGGGAGGGGCACGGAGGAGGAGGGGAGGGAGGAGAGAGGGGAGGAGCAGGAGGGGGAGGAGAGGAGGAGGAGAGGAGGAGGAGGAGGAGGATAGGACGGGACGAGGAGGAGGAGGAGGGGGTGCAGGAGGATGACGATGATGATGACGATGACGATGCTGATGCTGATGCTGATTCTGATGCGGGCTTAAATACGGATGTTGACAAAGAAGATGATCATCCCAACTATCATCGTGATGCTGATGATGTTGATGATGATCGTGAGGGCGATGCTGGTTGAGACGATGATGACGACGACGAGTTTTGTGATTGTTACTTCTCTCGTTCTTGGGCTGTCCTTGCTGTCTGCGCACAAACTATATTATATACATATACATATAGGAATGTGTGTGTGTGTATGCATAGGTGTGTATGTGTACGAAAAATATGGGCATACTACATACAGACAGAGATACACACACACATACATACATGCACACATACATACATACATACATACATACATACATACATACATACATACATACATACATACATACATACACACACGCATACATGCTGCTTGCATACATGATCATACATGCATGCACAGTGCCTGCATGCATGCGCCAGTTGATGTACGGCCATGTACGATATGACGTTTACTCGTTCATCCAACTGTCACCGGTCTCACAGAGACAGTTGCGAGGGCCGAGAGGCTCCTGCCGCGCAGGGATCGCCAAGGGCCCAGGGCCGGCCAGCGCTGTCCAGGATGAGGAGGTGGTCCTCTGACTGGGGTAAAGGCTTTGAGCTGTGGGCTGCCTTGGGGATGCAGCTCACAGCCACGCAAGGTCTGGTCAGGCAAGGTTGGTAGTCTCGAAGGTACCAAGCACGAGCATGTCCTAGTAGGTGCTAGGTACTAATAAGAGCAACGAACCATCTTGACAACCAAGCGAAGCCAGAAATTTCACTAACGCCAAACCGGAGTCCTTGCCGCAGGCCACTGAAACGATCTGCACCGTCGGATCCGGCAGAGCACCATGAGGGCTGAGGAGCATGGTCTCAGACGAAACGCCTGGGCATCCGAAAACAGCTCATGTCTCTGCTTCGCTATCGTCACCATCATCATCGTCATCATCATCATCATCGCCACCACCGTCGCCATGCTGACCTCATCCTCACCACACTAGGTCAAGCAATCACCACCATCATCATCATCAGCAGCAAAAGCATCGGCAGCAGCATGTAGCCATCCACCGCATCCTCATTTTGCGCGTGTTGGATAGCTTCCGGCCCCCGAGACATGCCGAGCCACTGAATTGCGAAGAGGAGTTGCTGAAGGCGATCGGTGAGAGCCCAGCACCGGCAAAGAGTCGCCCGACCTCGTCCGCACAACCTGGCGAATCTTGCTATACTGCGTGGTGACTAGTGACATCCATGCTCCTCAACCAGCATCCGGCTGCAGGCTGGAGTACGACTTCTGCAGCGATTGCCAAGGCCGATACACTTTTCACGCTTGTTTCTCGAGAGGCTGGTGATATGTAAACTCCCGCCTGCACTGCCTGCACATCAGTTCGAAAGGCTGGCACTTTAAAAACGCTGCTCTATGTGAGCAGCAGCCCCAGCTCCTCCTTCATTGCCAAGATGAGGAGGGATCCGATAGTTGCCATGATCAAAGCAAGAGCAAAGTTTGTGGAGAGGAGCGCAGCACAGTCACGAGGCGTCAGGCACAGGAAACCCTCTACACCAGACAGCCCTGTGTTGACTGTGTCAGGGATCTTTCCGACAGCCTTTGCAGTAGCGAAAGGCTGGCAGTGCATGCCTGGAAGTGCAAGCTGGTTCAATGCATTCCACATCGCTGCAGGTGTCCATCCCCCTTCCATGCTTCCACGCTGCTGCCGAAGCCAGCGCATCCCTAGAGCCACGATGAACTCTGTCATGAGCACGCCAAACCCTGCCAAGAGGGCAACAACATAGGTGGCTGGGCGGTAAAGATATCGGCATGTTGGGTTCGCCCGCTCGCAGCCGTAGGTTAGGTGGGCGGACAAGGAGGAGAGCATGTAGAAGACACACGCGAGAAACATAATGGCCCAAGACAATATTGCTGACAAGGAGGACGTTCGGAGAACTAGATCCTTCTGAGTCCCGAACTCTTTGAGTTCAGGCACTTGCCAACCAAACTGCCGGGCTAGGCTACGCCTCATGAAGATGAGTACAGTGCCCACAACATTGAAGCGACCAAGGATGGCAAATGCAGCGTGTGTCGCAACCGACACTGCTCCACGCCGCACTACTTGGTAGTCTGTACCTTGGTCAAGGGCAAGCATCAATGCCAAGCCGCCGTAGTAGAAGCCTTCTGAGGACACCGCTACCGTGGCCGTGGCAGACGTCAGCCACAAAGCCGAACAATCACGACGCCCTGGAAAATATGTCCAAGTAAGTTGGACGATCGGATTGAAGAGCGTCTTGTATAACATTGCTACAACAGGGTAGAACATGTCCTGGAGCGCCTCAGTTTGGATGTCGCCCCGCCAATCGACGAGGTAGCTGCCCATAAAGAGGCTTAAAGCGCCCAACGCACGCAGAACCATACCTGCCCCTATTCCAAAAAGCTTCCTTTCTCCAAAGGGCAGATAAATGAAGGGCGTGCAGAAAGTAGCAATTATGTTCGACCGTGACTGGAATGGTCCCAGAAAGTATTTCTCCCCCGCGAACAACAGCCAGTGAAGAGACAGTTCAACCAGCACAACCCAGGTAGGAACACGGCCCATGCCCAGCTTGGCCGTCTGCCACGCTACCTGCCAGGTTCCTAGGGAAAGCGTGCTAGCGATCCCCAGAGCTGCAGGTATGCGCCAACCACTCCAAAGAGCAGCCCGATAGGCGCCACCAAGAAGAATCACCGGAACCACGTTCCCCCAAAGCTTGAGCGCAAGCGGTCCGCAGAGAATATCTTTGGGGCTAATGGTCAATTCGGCTGGATAGTACGTCTTCGACTCCACGACAGCGTCTGGGACAGTCTCCTGCTTTTCTGCAGCTGCTCCCTCCATATGAAGCTTCTCAATGTCGTGCACCCCGAAAGTCTCGTCTCCTGGTTCCATCTTGACCACATGTTCCTCCTCTTTTTGCTGAGGCTCCGCCGGAGTCTCCCTGGGCAAACCAGCAACTGCCACCTCTGGTGGCACATCGCTGACGCTGCTCTTGCAGCAAGTCTGTGACTGTGTACTTCCCATATGGGAACAGTGCCACGGTCCCCTGGGTTTTATGGCTACGGCGTACGGCTTGCTTGAGCCAAGTGCGAAAAAACTCCAGACCATGCCCATGCAGAATCTGTACAGACTCTGTCCTTGTAACCGGCGAAGTATGCTTATTTATATATGTGTTTAATTATTCACATGTATATATATATATATCTCTCTCTCTCTATCTATATCTATATATATATATATATTTGTATATATAGAGAGCGAGAGTGAGTGAGTGAGTGAGTGAGTGAGTGAAGGGAGGGAGGGAGGGAGGGAGAGAGGGAGGGAGAGAGCGAAAGTTTGAGCGAACGAAGGAGCGAGGGCGCGAGGGAGGAAGGGAAGGAGGTGCGTGCGTGCGTGGGTGGGTGGGTGGGTGGGTTGGTGGGTGAGTGAGTGAGTGCGAGTGAGTGAGTGCGAGTGAGCGAGTGAGTGAGCGAGTGAGCGAGCGAGTGAGCGAGTCGAGTGAGCGAGTGAGCTAGTGTGCAAAATTCCACCATACAATGCCACACAATCAAACAGCTATGGCCAAGCGAGATCAGTGTATTCCCACAATCTACAACACACTCAGGCAAGCATTCCTTTATGCGACCAAGCCAGTCCTGTCCAATCTTGAGCCAAATACCATTCGGCTTTGTAGCATTCGATGATGCATCATGATCATTCTAGAGCACTCTAGGGAGGTGCCATTTAACACAGCTCCTTGGTTCTGACGTTAGTCGAGAACCATTCAAACACTTACACATCATCCACAACTACATGGCAGCAGTCGCGAAGCGATCAAGGAGAACATTCGAAACAATTGCTATCAAAGATGCGAAAAGGCAGTGGCTTCATGCTGGTCATTTTGGCTCGACTCAGGAAAAGACATTCAAGGCAATGCCCAGCGCTGAAGACGCTTCACGACTTTTTAGCTGCTACAAGCAGCTCCTGCCGAAGAGCCAAATGCCATTCGGCATTGTAGCATTCGATAATGCATCATGAAAATTCTAGAGCATTCTAGGGAGGTGTCATTTAACAGAGTGAGCGAGTGAGCGAATGAGCAGGTGCGTGCGTGCGTGCGTGAATGAGCGAGCGTGAGTGAGTGTGAGCGAGAGCGAGTGCGCGCATGGGTTCGCGGGTGCTTGCGCGTAGGTGCGCTCCGAACCACCGATGTTGTGACACGTTTTTGGGTGGATTTGTGAATCTCTGATAACAACAAAGTCATCGGTATTTACGGTGGTTTCTATGTGTTTTACATATCGAAGAAAGACGGAGGTGGA